GAAAGAAAGAATTTAGAATGGGACAGAGATTTGCAATCTTATCTCTGGTCTCATGAACTTTTATAATGAGCATATACTGTTTTTAGCAATCCAAAGAAAGACCAGCAAACAATACAAAGGATCAATCTCCAAGCAGAATGTCAAGGGTGTGTCTAAGGGACACAGCACAGAAGACTAGGGCCTCACACACACCATCATCTAATGCAGGTGGGGCAGAATGAGAAAAACTGTGAAGGAATCACAGTGTGGTGGATAAAACCAGGCCGGGGTGGCGGGGGGGACTAGTCTGCATGGTTGTAAGGCCTCCAGAGGGGTCAGCCACATGGAGATCTGTGAGAAGATGAGCTTGACCAAAAGACACCCTCTCCAGTCCTGAGGAAAAGTTGGGGTGTCTGAGAACGGGGGCAGGGGGGCGCACAGGTCAGGCCTGACCTTTTCAGACACTGTCACAATTCAGATGTTACTCTCAGGGCACCAGAAACCACCAGAGGACGTCAACCCTCCCATCTCACAATATGCCAAAATTGAAAGACTACCTAAAAAATTTCTCACACACACACTATCAAGCTTATAGAAGATGGGTGTGATTTCATTTTATCCAGCTCTCAACTCCTGGCCTCACAATTTTAAAATAAAAAGAACTATATATATTTTATCATTTTTAAGGGACAAGAGTTTATGCTAAAATCAAATATATTCTTTTTAAAATCACCATATTCAAAAACAAAATCACCCTTTTCAAAAAAATTTTCTAATTCTTAAATCTATTGATTCACTAAATTTTTGAATGAGCTTTTTCTGAGATCTTAGTTTGGAGTACTTTTTTATTTAATGGAGCTATGTATCTTAAGAAAGGTTTTCTGTCCCCTGAGTATATTTCAAATATATCTTCATTTCCCAAAGAACATGTATTGAGTGACTAAAAATTAACTTGCACTCATTCACACCTCAAAAAAGAATGCATTTTCCTAAATCATTCTAACGAAGACATTAATAATGTCAAAACCCTGAGTTTTGAAACAGAATTTCTGTTCTCTTTCTAGATGTATTAAAATACACTTTTTTTAAGGTTTGTTCATAACATGATTGCCATTTTCTATGCTGCCTACCGATTATTAACAGAACCAATTTTAAAACCAAACTAGGGCTCTCTCTGCAATATTCAATATGTATTACCATCTGCTTTTATATCAGCATTTTTAGCAGGTCCAAAATCTCTATATTACCAAGGATTATCAGAAATGGTTTATACCTCTTTCAAAGCACACATTCTTTCCAAAACACCTTCAAGTCACAAACTTGAAAGTTCACTTAACTTTTCAGACTATACCAGATGTGTGACTGTCAACCAGAATTATATACACAATTGGTTTATCACAGACAACTCAGTTATACTGACCAAAGCTAGTTTTGTCATTGTGTCTCTTAAGAATTACTAATCTGAGAAAACACAGCATACCTGATTACCTAGAAGCTTACAGAAGGTGGAAGGGTGACAGTCTTTATTTGCAACATACATCCTATGTAAAGAACATGAACTTTTCCAGTTGACTGAGAAAAGTGGCATCCCTAAAACTTACATAATAATCCATCACCCTCATTTCCAAACACACACAAAAAAAGACAACAGCATTTTTTTTTTCAGAAGACGTTCAGCAAAAACCGCATCCATGATAAAAGAGAAAATGGCAGGTGAGATGAAGACAGGAATTCCACCAGACCCCAGCAGGTATAGCTCCAATTCGCTGCCCTTAGCGACAGAATGGCCATAAGGATGATCAAATGGTCTCAAAAGTTCGTCAGTTGTCTGTAAAAATACATGAGCTCGAAGCCTGGTATCTAAATAATCCTTTAGATCAAATTTATCTCTTTCTAATAAATATTTTCCTTCCATCTAATAAGAAAGAAAGAAGGAAAGAAAGAAAGATTGATTTTTAAAAATCTCTCCGTTCATTCATTCAACAATGTCGCATACTGATTCCATGCAAGGATGGATGCTCCTCCTTCCCTGCAGAGTTTACCATCCAGCAGTGGCAAGATGAAATGATCAATATGATCTTCTAATCACCATGATTATCAGCCTCCGCCAACACACGCGCGCACACACACGCACGCGCGCGCACACACACACACACACACACACACACACACACACAGTGTAGAGACCTCTCTGCTATCTCAGAGCACCACAGGTTCAACAGCAATTCAACAGCAATTCTCTTTAAAAAGACCAACTGGTCCAACCTGACCATTTCGTTGGATGGCACAGGGCTTCACCAAGCCAGCCTATCCCATTTCATCCCACATCTCTATCAACCACCTCCCTGAAGATCTCCCCCTGGGGGATCCTTGTGACAATTTTTTTTAAAACATATTTATTGCCATTTCAAACGCATACCATTTTCCTTTAGATACTAATTTAAACCTAATTTCAAAGTCAGCTTATATTACCTAATCCTTATTTCTCTTTCCATTTAAAACTATGAAAAAGAAGGGGTGCCTGGGTGGCTCAGTGGGTTAAAGCCTCTGCCTTCTGCTCAGGTCATGGTCCCGGGGTCCTGGGTTCGAGCCCCACATCGGGCTCTCTGCTCGGCAGGGTGCCCGCTTCCTCCTCTCTCTCTCTCTGCCTGCCTCTCTGCCTACCTGTAATCTCTATCTGTCAAATAAATAAATAAAATCTTAAAAAAAAAAAAACTATGAAAAAGATTGCACAAAAGTCTGCCAATATGTAAATGACACTTTAAAAAGGGTTTTAAAGAGGTCATATTACAAACACATTTAGGAACCTAAAGGATAAACAGGACAACCCTAAACAACACAACCAGAGACCACCACAAAGGTTTAAAACATAAAATACAGGGCGCCTGGGTGGCTCAGTGGGTTAAGTGTCTGCCTTCCGCTCAGGTCATGATCTCAGGGTCCTGAGATCAAGTCCTGCATCGGGCTCTCTGTTCAGTAGGGAGCCTGCTTCCTCCTCTCTCTCTCTCTGCCTACTTGTGATCTGTCTGTCAAATAAATAAATAAAATCTTAAAAAAAAAAATACAAAATACAAACAAAAGCTACTCCATAGTTAAAGTAGGGGAAAACAGAACTCTTCTACATTTTTTTGGTTTAACTTGAAACCAACTTGGGAACAAATTGTATTACAGAAAGTAACACAAATCATGATATTATAGGCCAACGCCAACATTCTATAGGCAAGAATTTAGAGGATTTAAATCAAATACTCACTAGAGGCGTAAAATCATTTTAAAAGAAAACATTCTAATTCCATATGCATTATGCAACAGGCTTTTCCTATTAAAGGAAACAGAACGAAATTTTCAAAATGACCCAACTGATCAAGCATAATATATGAAACCAACATTTCCTCCTAATTTTTCCCTATTATGAGATTAAGTACGTCAAATGTAGACTTATTCTCCCAAAGGAAAGATTTGTTCCGTATTTCTTCACATTTGTGTCCTCATTCAAACACCCACATGATAAAATCAAAACAGCTCTATCAGGCACGAGGACATGTCTGAGTAACTATTATTCAGTTGGTAAATCACCACCCCTCATTCCATTCCTCTTTCTTTACATATGTTAATGATGGTGTCTGATCCAGGGCCCACCACCAGCCACCACAACTGAATTACCCTCCAGGGACATCAATCAGATTGTTATTCTTGTTTCAGCTGAAGAAAAGGAGGCAAGAGGCAGGAAGAGCTATTTTCAGGAATCAGAATTCTCTTGATTAGATTTCTGGCTCACTGGTAAATGTTTATACTCTGAAATGTATTACCCTCTACTTCTAAATGTTTGGCTTTTTTCTAGAGCCACAATATAGCACAGTGTTTCCAATATAAATTTTGCCAAGTAATATATGCCTAGTTTTGCAGGGAGCATTTGGTCAAATTCTAATATTCCCTCTTGGGAGCCAATACCAACTTCCAGCAGCAGGTCTAACTGCGCAGAACAGATTTTTCAACACACACGGAGTAGTATCTTCTAGCAGACAACCCTTTCTTCTCCCTGTGGCATGTGGGATGCCACATGAGACATCTGGCATGATTACTTATCACTAAGAATATGGATCTTTCTGGCAAAGTAAAAAATTAATCACAAAATGCCCCAAATACATTCCTCTTTACCCCAGCATAAAAAAAAAAAAAAAGAAAGAAAAAAGAAAAAAGGGGGAGAAAACCCATGGTGGTTTCTACCGAGGTTGAGATGAGGCTTAATGTTCTCGCTTAAGCTTAGAAACCATCTTGTGATTAATAAGAATAAATAGCATATGCACATTTCTTTAGGCTGCAAATGTTAGCTGAGAAAATGCATGTAAGAGGGCTTCCTAACACCTAAATAGGATTATCCATAAACAGCAAATAGATTATCCGTAGGCACAAAGTGTTCGGTTATCTTAGCTTTTCTTGATTGTAATAAATATTTTTGTTTCCCTTGTCACTGAAAACTCGACAGAGGACCCTCCCATTCCTCTTTCATTAAAATGTGCACATGATTTGCATCCAAACCTTACACAGCCATCATGGGAGGGGGCAGGAGGGGGCGGGGCGGGGCAGGGGGCGGGGGGGGGGGGGGGGGTTGGTGGTGGAGGGGAGCATGTACAGCAATATTGCACTCATCTGGTTGCATTAAGCTCAAAATGCAAATCTCAAGGATATAGATTTGTCACATGTCAGCCCAAGCTGAAGGCATCCACCAAGAGAATATTTTCCCTATTCAACTAGCAGCCACAATCTCCCTCCACAAACCCGCATACTGATGAGAGCCAAAGCTCCCAGGATCCCTCTTCATTTCTTCTTAACCCACCTCTTCCCTCTGCAGAGGAGAGAAGCCATTTTACTAATTTATAAGTATTCTGGCTCTCCCATCATCTAAAAAAAATTTTCCCATCAATAATAGTCAACTGAAAGCAAAAGCAGATTGTACAGGAGTGAGAGAATAAACCAGACAACAGCAGCCCGGATCGAGCAGCAAGACTCCGCATACTTACTGAAGGCAGCCACGGCCAGGGCCAGGGTGACAATAATGGAGAACCAGGAGACCCACAACGCCTTCTTTCTGTAGTTCTGGGCCTCGTGAGGCTTCAGGCGAGTGCTGCTTTCTAGTAAGCCTGACAAAAACAAGGAGAAAAGGAAGTTAGACATTTCCTTATTAAGAAACCCACAGCCAAAGCTACACGTTCTTATCCAAGGACTGCAAACTGACAGCCAGTGGGCCAAGATGTGTTTTGTTTGGCCCACACTGTGTTTTAACAATTAGGAGGGTTCACTTGGAAATCAGGCTTTCTGGCATCTCTTGCCAAATCTCAGGCTCTAGCAACATGGGCAAGTAAGCCTACAGGCTAACAGCAGTCATCCTCTCTAGAAAGACCCCACAGACCCACTCACTGGACCTGGACCCGTGAGCCCCTGCCCCAGCATGTAGTCAGCTATGTAGGTCTTGCTCTAGCAAGCCCCTTCCATTAGGAAAACAGCACAATGAGCCCACATTGAGCCGGGCCTGTGGGCTCCTCAGCCACAGGCACTGATCTGCATTGATCCCACAGGCAGTGCCCACAACTTGGTGAAAGAGCCTTCGCCCAAAGCCATGAGTCCCTGAAAGCAAACAGCCTCGTTGCCCTCCTCAACAATTAACAGGAAGAGAAGGACTTCTCTTCAATCGCAACCAACAATAGCCACCAGACCTCCATTATAGGCCCTGTTTTCTTCCCGCCTTTCTGCTCTGTAGTATGTATTGCTCTATACCACTCATGAGGCAAACAGTTCTCAGACTGTTCAAGTCAGGTAAACCTACTCAAACTGGGCACAGCTTTCTGGGCTGGCCCTGTGCGAGGAAGGTTTGATTTTTGTCCCTGATGCTTTCAATACTAAGGGTCCCTGGCACCAACTGAAATTCATGAGGTCTTAGAGGCAACGCCCAAGCTCCATTTGCTTTGGGTGGAGGGTCAAAACATCTTCAGCTCGACCCCGATTTCTATTTTGTTCTTCTCCTTCGAAAACAGATCATAGACAGCGTCTCTTCGTTGCACCAAAGACCAAATTCTCTCATGCATTCTCCATTGACAGGAGCTTGTGACACCACCTTGAGCGAAACAGACCAGGACATACCTTTCAGGGGTGGAGCAGCTTCATCACGACAGCTCCAGATGGTGAAGAAACTGGTAGTCCGAGCTCAGGCACCCAATGGTAAAACACCACACAGCATGCAACATCTCACAGCTGGCGCATCATGTAAAAGACACCATCCCACTTAACCATCTGGGCACCCTGCTCAGCCTCTGGCCTGAAAACTACATCCTCTTCCAAAATTATAAAAGACCCTGGTAAAACATCTCCATTTCATTCACTACCCAGATCCAAGCGACCTCAACAAGTCCTCAAGGAAGCAAGAGGAAACTTCCAGGAAGGTGCTTAGCGAACCCAGTCTATGGCCCAGAGATTTTTAAATAATCAAAACCTGTAGATTTACATGGGATCAGAATATAGAGCAGAGTGCAAAAGGTAGGTCTAAACACCTCTCCATCACCTCACTGTAAAAATCTCCCCAAACCTTCCTTAATAAATGCACTTGGATGAAAAAAGATAAACCTTCTCTCCTCAAATTCTGCCTTCAGCACACATGATTTCAAATTAAAATCCCTTCACCTGCCTGTTTTTATCCCTTTGTCTACTTTTTCCCTAGCCACCAAACAACACCCCATTCTAATTTTCAATGACAATCACCCTTATCTCCTGTTTAAGCCAACCTAGAAGGAGCAGGTCTACACTCTCCCAATCATTTGTTTCCTTTTTCCCAAATGATATAAAAATCTTCCTTTTCATTCTGGCCAATGATTTTCAGGAGAAGTGAAGCTGTAACACATCAGTACTGACTCAAATAAGCAGCTCATTTGCTGCGTATTTTGACACCAACAATCGCAAGAGGTTTATCCACTGGGGGTAAAAACAAGGTTCCTTTCAAAAGCAGATTTCATTTTCCACTAGAAAGGACAATGATCTGGGTCTTTCATTCCACCACATAACAATTATTTTTCCTTCCAAAGCCAACCGGTTATAGCAATATGGTCCTGACCACACAGACCGCTGCGTGCCTCACCCCACAGTGGACCAGCACACTCAGGAAGGAGTTTGGGGTGTCCACTCGCATATGCTGGACTGCCCTGCTAACAGGATACCTGAGTCCTCTAAGCAGCAGGACTGGTGGTTCTTACCCACATCTGATCGAGTGTGTGCATGTCTCCCCCATAGGAGGTTTTGAATTTTAAAAACTAGAGTAAATGTGATGCAAAGACCATCCAAGAAGGCAGGAACTTTCCCATATAGGTCCAGCCTTTGCTTATTTCCTACTGGTTTTCCTTCCTAAAAGTATAGCTGATACCGAGAATGGAAAAGATCTCCTCCTCAAAAGGGAGTACGACAACCTACAAAGACCTATAAATGAATGGTCCACACATAGATGCCTCTACCTCAGCCTCCACATGGGGTTGCACGCACACCCACAAACAGTGATGAAAAGTCCTCAAGTTTTCAGGAAGCTGTGCTTCAGAAGTAGAAGGTAGCCCAGCCCAGACAAGCGAAGGAAGGCTGCACATTTGCATGTAGGGCTCTGTCCCTTTATCAACATAGTTGGCCTCCACATTCAGATTTCTAATTTCACTCCAATTCCATCTATTTGTAATCTGGGCCTAACATTAGTAAGCGTAAGGGTTGTATGAATGAAAGACTGATAACTCATTGTTTGGGTAGAGGAGAAATGCAAATATATGCCGTTAAGTTGAAGCCATCCATCATTTCCATTCTAGTATGAATTAGTTCTAATTGCTTTCTCCTAATCGCCACACTTGGATCTTCTGAAGGAAGGGAAATATTCATTAGGTAGGTTGGTAGCAAGAAATGCAGAAGCATGTAACACTCTAAGTCAACTTGGGGCTTGGGGCAGAATGATGGGAAAACACCTGTGTAGAGAAGAGAGGATGGATATTAAGAGGGAAGAGGTGGAAACACCCAAGACAAACTTGGCCTATTTTGTGGGTGTTAATCCCTGAAAGTCTCAGACCACAGGACTCTTGCTCCCTGACTACAAGCCTCAGCCAAATGACACTGCACTATCAGCTAGTTAGGTTTCTAGGAAGCAGCCCCCATCACTTCTAAGGGGAAAATACCTCTAAATTCCTAAAACATCACATGATAAGGCAAGCATTTGATGGGAGTTAGACGCAGTCCGTAACCAGCTCTAATAGCTCAAAAGGAAGTGAGGACAAGAAAGAAGGCCAAATATAGACACACATCCAGGGCACCCACCCCCCCCCACACACACGCTATAGGTATTGAGGCCTAGAAAAAAAGCAAGCCAGGCATGATGGAGAGACGCAGATCAGGCAACTGCTTTAGCTTCTTCCTCCCCAAATCCTCTCACCATTAGGAAAAAGGTAGCTGCAATCGAACTGTTCCCAAGGGATTCAAAAATCAATAATGGGAAAGATGCAGCCCCATAAGAAAAAACAACACAAACACAAAATATTGTAATAAACCTCCCCAGGTAATCTGATCTATTTAACGAAAATGATCCATTCATCATTAACTCTTTGCTGTCAGCAATAGGTCAAACAAAAGAATGTCACACTGACTTTCAGCTTTCAATACCACACGGCGCTGGGTTCTTTGGAGGACAGGGTTCACGCTAACAGAGAGGCTGTGTGTGATATGAGATGCTTTCACACAGGGATAGTTCACGAACAGTGAATGCTTTCATGCTATCATATAATGGAAAATGAAATTCAGTTGACCAATGAAAAATGACCCTAAGAATTAATTCAGAAGGGCTTTTTACACTTGAGCATGAAGCTACAAAATGATGCTAAATATTAACTCCCCCTAGCACTGTCTCCCCTCCTGTCCTTTTGTGGGGTGGGGAGAAATAGGCCAGCTTTGACAAATGACCTGCAATGCTACAAAAATAAGCTCAGCCCAGAGTTCGGTCTTCCTTCAATACAAAATTCTGAAGTCCTACAGTATTAGTTGCAGAGGAAAAGGTAATTCACATGACCAAAATAAGTGATGGATTCCGTGGGGGTGCTTGCATGCCACCCATCATCAGCTCTGTAACAGTATCTAGTTCTGTTGGAACAGGAGGAGAAACTGCAACATAGGTGCAGAACTCGTTGCAACTGGAGGAGCTCCAGTTCCCCCCCTGAGCAATCCCTGCAGAGTCTCCAGGATTGCTGTTTCCATGTCATTCTATTTCACATGCTACAGTTTAAAATTTCTATGAGGAAAGAGATCGTGCATCCGAACGCTAAACCGGAATAAAAATGTACAGGAGATACTAAGAATAGGACTGAAAACCTGCTAAGACTGAAATATAAAAATCCGCCACAGCCAACAAAATAAGGCTTCCAAGGGGGTGGAGTGGCGATGAGCCGGCTCCCCATGAAGGGCCTGGCTACAAGAATCCCGCTTCGGCCACTAACGGGCTTTAGCCCAAACACGGAGTCTTTTTGAGGGGGCCGATCTGAATTTAGATTCAGAAAACAGCAGAAAATGTATGGATGTGGCCAAGAACACGGATCCCTGCAAGCCAAAAGGAAACGAGGCAGGGAGGGAAAGAAGGATGTAGGAGGAGAGAGGCACGAGAATGAACAACCGAGTCTCTCCCGTTTCTTGCAGGCATCTCAAAGGGGGTTATCGTCTGTGTGTTGGAAGGTAGGGGGTTGGCCTCCCAGGAAAGGGACGTTTGCGCGGTTCCAGACCAGTGTCTTGGGGGGATTCTGAAGGGGCTGGAGACGTGTGCAGGGAACCACCAGCTTTCGGTGGCATCCATTCAGAGGAGGTTGGGGGTCCAAACTCGACTGCCCCAGTCCTCTGCCCGCCATCACCAAACAGCAGGGCAGTGACCTATGGTAAACTAGGTGCCCTATGAGTGAGAGTCGGGGGCCGCCGGTCTTCCCTCGCGGAGCCGACCACCCACCGGCTCCGCGAGGCTAAACCCGCAGAAGGAAGTTCTCCCGGGGAGCCGGCCGCCGGGGGTCGGAGAGGACTTGGAAAGAGGACGCACTGAGCTCAGGTCCCTCCTAGCTGAGCAGGGCCGGCACTCCCCCGGGAGCACTGGGCTCCAAAAGCAAAAAAAACGCCTCCCGCAAACTTTTCCACTGGGCGCTGGAGGGCCGGAGCTAGCCAAGAGGAGAGCACGGGCCCGTGCGAGGTCTGTCCGGAGGCTGCACGGCTCTCGCGCTCCCGGGAAGGAGCGGCTGCCCAGGCGGCGCCGACTTCAGGAGGTGGGGCTGCTGCCCTCGGCTCTCGGCGCCCTCGCGGGTGAGTCCCGGCCCCGCGCCCCCGAGCGCCCCGAGACGCTGAGCCCCGCGCCCCGCCAACCTGAGAATGGGTAGAGGCGGGCGGGGAGCAGCGGCTCCTCACCGCGCCAGCCGGCCGGGGAAGGGGCCGCGCCAGGGAGGCTGCCGGGCGGCTTGCGCTCACCTCGATCCTCCAGCCCGTCGCTGAACTGGCCGCTCTCGCTGATCCGCAGCTGCCGCTCCTCTTCGGGCTTGGGTGGCTCGCGAGCTGGGTTGCTCTGCGGGCCCGGGCCGGGGGCGGCGGCCAAGGGCGCGTGGCCCCGGGGCGGCGCCGGGACCGCGGGGCCCGAGGGGCTGCGGCGCTCGCTGCCCGCGGCCGGCTCCATGGCGCGGGGCGGCGGTTCCGGGCGGCGGCGACGAGCGCGGCGAAGACTTGAGTCAGAAGTGCGAGGCGCCGCGGCTCGGAGCGGGCAGAGGGACGGACGGACCGCTGAGGAGGGAGGAAGGGAGAGGGAGGGTGCCGAGGAGCTGAGGTGCGCCGGCAGCAAGCTGGGCGGGGGTGTCGAAGAGCCGCACGGCTCGCGCGGCAGGAGGCAGAGGCTTGGGGCCGCACTGTCGCCGCCGCGCTCCGCCCACGGGGGCAGGTGTCGGCGGCAGGGACCCGCCCCGAGTTCCCGGCGCCGGAGCCCGCTCTAGAAGACCGGTGGGGAGGTAGGGAGGGATTCGGCCAGCCTGACGCCCGGAGGCTCGCGGGAACTGCTGGCGGCCTGACGAGGGTGTGACTGGAGACCTGCCCCACCCGCGCTGCGGGATGGGGTCCGGAGGGGACGCGCTCGGACCGGATTTCTGCCGTCCGGGAAGGCAGCGGCCGCGCTCCGGCAGGAGAGAGCGGGCAGCGCCCTAATTTGACATCTTTCTCCTCTGGAGCTGCGTGGGCTTCAGAGGCGGTGCGGGGTCTCCAGCTGGGCTACCAGCCTCACCGCCTATCCCGGGAAAACAAGGTTCACCTGTCGCCAAGACCGCCTGGCTCCGGCCTTCTAGGCTTTGATTCATTCCCCTCCTAATTTTTCTCTCTAGCACCGACTTAAGGGGACCGGGTAACCTTGGAACCACTGGTAGCTCTAGATGTTTAGACGCCAAGGTTCCCCCATTGCGACTCTCCCTGAGCCTTTGTCCCGGCTACTCCCCTGCCAGCTCTCTACTTGCCCTCTGAGTATCCAAATGTTGACACTTCCTCAGGACTCGGATGGAAGCCTGCCTCCTACGAGAAGCTTCCCCTGGCTGTCCCAGAGCAGCCGACTTTCCCTGCTTTGACCGCGCGGAGCTAGTCGGGCAAAGAGAGACAATCGCCTAGTTCACGCCAGGGCCCACGCCCGCTCTCTCGGAGCTCCAGCAGGTGCAGAAGCGGGAGAACCGGCCGTTTATCAGACTAAGCTTGACTTTAACGGTATCAACATCCAAACTCCACAATTTAGATTTCATCTTTAGATGGCTATCAGTCTTCAAATTTAATGAGACCTTAAAATACCAGTTCCTCGCTTAAAGCCTGCCTACTCTATTGGAGCACCCTTTTTTGAAGAGTAACTACTTCCTTTCGCATTCTCACTTTGCCTACCACCAAATTCAGAGTCCAATTTAAATGCCTTTGGGGTGCCATGGACACTAATAATGGGTAGAAGATCTCATTTTATTTTGCGTTGTCGGATTGGAATGAGATCTTCGGTCACCTTGGCCAACTCACTTTACCTTTCTGATCCTAATTTCTTTAATTACAAACTCAGAGCTGGAGGGCTAGATCATTTTAAATGCTCGTTCTTGCTAGGGAAAATGGGAGAAAGGGGGGCGGGGAGGGAAAAAATGAAGAGAAGGAAAATTGCTACAATTATTTGAATAAAACAACGAAAATTTCTACCTACCGGTCCTGATTCTGTCCTCGGACGTAGACAGTCGTAGACATCCTTCAGATATTGCAGACCCCTTACCCTACCCCGTTGCTCTCTCTCACCCAGACTTTTTTCCTACACGTTATCCCAGTTGATTCCTCTGTCAACGGCTCAAACATTAGAATGACCTGGGGACCTTTAGGACAAGAAATACCCAGGGCTCTGCCCCTGCTAGAAATTTGATATCATAGATGATTAAATTGTTCTGGTCTGGGAACTTGGTTTGGATATTTTTTTAAGCTCCCTTCCTATTCTAAGAATCATTTGGGAAGTTATTTGTTTAAATGCTAATTATTTACAGCTCTTCAAGAATCTAATTCAGTAGATTCTGGTGTCTGGCTAGGAATCTGCATTTGAATATCACACACACATACATATTTTGATGTAGGTTGTTCCGGGAGCACATTTGTAATTCTCACTACCTAACTGCCCTCTACAATGTGGACTGTCTAGCTCTGCCCCTGCATGCATCCACACACCCGTGCTCTGTCTTTCTATCTTCCCCACACCCAAGGTTTGTGGTTCTCTCAAAGGAGCAAGAGTCATTGTTCTTTCCTCTGGTACCTCGACCAATTCTCTACTCCAGCACATCTGAAATGTGAATATGCAGATGCACGCCCGGGATTCTTGTTAAAATGCAGATTCTAACTCAGTAGGTCTGAAATAGAGGCTGAGATTTCTTACAAGCCTCCAGGTGCTGCTGAGTTGCTGATCTGAAGACCACACATGAAGAAGTAAGAATCTAGGAGTTATTTATTATTCATGAAATAAATACATTTTCCTTCAAGTTCCAGCTGCCCTCGTTCAGTAAGCCATTCTTGTCCCCTCCAGAAAGATTTCTCTGACTCCAGCTCCTTCTGGGCACTCTTTTTTTGTGAACTATAACTGTTCAATAATTAACTGCTCATTTCATGAGGCAAGGACTGTGGTGCTTGTGTGATGCCGGTTTTCACTCATCCACATCTCTCTGGATACCAAGGACAAGGCTTTCCCCCAAACAATCTCTGCCGATTGACTGGGAGGTAACATTAGCTTCCATTCTTGGAGGACATACTATGTGCCAAGCACCTTGCTAACTTTTACATGCATTGTCTTTGTTACTCAACAAAGACTATCCTCATTTCACAAAGGAAGAAATCAAGGTAAGTCTCCGATTTAAACTCTAGCACCGCAGCCCACCGTGGTACCGCCCCCTAGGGGATATTTTGGAATTTGCAGGTGCTTTAATTTGTTATCCCACGGATGGGAAAAGCTGGGCCACTGGCATTTAGTGGGGGAGGGTCAGGGATATGGAGGTCCTGCCCTGCGCAGAAATTTGCTGCACAATGAAGACTGTTTGTGTCCCACATGGCTTTTATATGTCAGGCTGGTCATCTGGGTTAATTAAAATGTGCTCCTAATTATATTAGAATCCTAACTCTGTTTTACATGTAAACACAAAATATTTTGCACCACACTGAGTTTTCTGTAAATGCAACCACAAAGTCCAGGATAGATGGCTCTTTGTTCACTGCTGTGGAAAATCAGGACACTGAAGCCAGTTCCATTCATGGCATCTGAGTCAGCAATCAACACATCTTTCCCTGTCGAGTGTATAACTGCCCCAGACCCCGTAATTCCATATGTGTATATGAGGATTCTTATTTAGCTCTTATTTCAAAATGTCAAAAATAAAGGGTCTATAACATTCCCGAGTCTGGTCTTCTCTTACATTATAAACTTCTACACCTGATCACTTCTTTTTGACTTCTGAGGCAATTCTAACTAAGCATTTATAAAAGCAAATATATACTAGGTATTTTTGGCTTTACTTTTACCCCCCCTTTATTATAACTAGGTCATTATATTGATGTTTTCGTGTGTAGTTATACCTATGAAATCCATTTCATGATCACAATAGTGATACAAAATAATTGTTCTAAAAAGGCATCTTTAATTTTCACAGCCCAAAGAGCATAAGAAGACACATCTAAATGTAACATGGTGTTCTAGAAGATATCCCAGAACAGCAAAATAACATTGGGTAAAAATTAAGGATATCTGACTAAAGCATGGACCTCGGTTCATAATAATGTGTCAATGATTGTTCATTAGTTGGAGCAAATGTACCACAATTATGTAAGATGTCAATAATAGGGGAAACTGTGGGTGCCTGGGTGGCTTAGTCCATTAAGCATCTGCCTTCTGCTCAGGTCATGATCCCAGGGTCCTAGGATGGAGCCCTGCATTGGGCATCCCTGCTTGTACTCCTCCTGCTTGTGCTCTCTCTCTCTCTCTCTGACAAATAAATTAAATCTTAAAAAAGAAATAATAGGGGAAATTGGGGGCAACATTTATGGGAACTCTCTGTACCATCCTCTCAAGTTTTCTGCAAATCTAAAACTGCCCTAAAAAATAAATTCTATTAAAAAAAAAAAAAAAGGTAAAACAAAGCAGCAGGAGGATAGGGGGAGATAAGAAGTCTTGAGTCTGGGAGGTAGGCACCCTAACCTTGAACTATAAATGCCCATGGCAGAATAGAGACCATGGAAAGACAAAGTGCATGAGGTAACTTGGAAGCTTGAATATGGTCATCAAAAGAGCAATGTTCACAACAATGGTAAGAAAGAAAGACTATGACAAGAATTAAACTAATATTCTAATTTTAAGCTTATTCCACTGGCTTTTACCAAAACATATTTTTAGTATATGTAAGGATTTAAGAAGTTTTGGAAATTTCGTGAAATCTGAAATTTTCAAATTATCAGTCTTCCACTGGGACATTTTATAAGGGCACATTTGGGTAAGAGCATGTAGACATATAACTTGACTGGTGAAAGGTAAGAAGTTGAGTGATACCTTTTTTTTTTTTTTTTTTTTTTTGCTTATTGTTCCTTTTTACATTTTCAGTAAATTTGGATTCCCTAATCCTAGAAATATACACAGGTAAGAGAAGAAAAGCCAAGAAACTAAAAGAAACAAATCAAGCAAGAAGAGCCTCCGCAGGCCTAAAACTCACAGTGACTCCCACTGGAGCCACCTGCTGAGGGTCATGAGTCCTAGGAACACTCCCACTCTGGGTCCACTTAATCCTCACAATCCTAGAAAGCAGGGGGATTATCAGCATCCCCATCTTAAACATAAGGAAACAGAGGCTCAGGTTAAAAACCATTGCCAACGACCCCAGTTGTGGAGCTCGCAGGACACTGCTCTTAACCACAACACTGCAAGACCACTACAGAAGAATCTAAAGGTGACCCAGAGGATGGCTTCTACACCTGGTTACCCCACATCATATTTTAGATTAAAGACTACTTGTTTTACTTTATTATGCATGTAGACTTTGGAAACCCAACTACCAGCATATTATGCATCTTTTTCAAGTCTTGGAGAAATATACATGGCACTTAGAGCTACCATGCCTTGCAATAAACTGTCTCGTGATGGAGTATCTAAAACCGAGT